TACGCTTGAGATAGCTGCTGTTTCACGGAGACTGATTTACACTCATAAATGCATATGCTGCTTGTATAGAGCTAAGATGTGTCAAGGATTTTATGTGACGTTGTGCATGTCGGTCTATGTTACTCCAGTCTGAATGCGGCTCGCGTATAAAAGCGCATGTCGTACCTGAAGCAAATACTGAGCAGGCAGCACAGAAAACCCCATCGGCTTTGACACTGTAACTCATAAACGGATACACATTTGAGTTAAACATAGAACTAGGCACACAAAGTTGTTTATTCCCAACTGTCTTCAAAGGCCCTATCCATTTCTTAGATGATTGAAACTTTTCCAAAAGCACTGATTTCTTTACTGATTCAGGTAATGTTTGGTTAAAGTTAACCTCACCAATATCGAAAAATACAGCCGAACAGAGACTTTTAATGCCTTTTGCTTTCTTTGCAGCTGATGATGTCAATAAGTCACATAATGATGATTCTGAATCAGATTCGGATTCACTAGAATTTGAGGACACACTGGATATGTGGTTATCCAATAATAATGTCATTGGAGGAGTATTTTTGGCAGCATCTTGCACCTGTGGCACATTTGTTGATGACGTTGATGTTGCTGATAAACCGGGCGTTGCAATTTTTTTAAAGAATGATGTAATACACAGTTTCTTTTTAGGAGATTTTTCGCCGGTCTCACCTTTATTACTGTCACCCATTATTAAAAATTGAGGAAATCCAAGAATACTGCAACATTTACAAAAAAACGGGCTAGAGTAGACTACTTGAAGAATGACTTGAACGTAAACAAATATGGCCGACCGGACATGCGCACATCTTACAATAGACATGTAAAAGTAATAAATACCCGGTAGTTGCATAGATATTTTTAAAAAGTTTTTAATGGTGACTCACATTCTCACAAGTCAGGGGTGAGGGGAACTCTTAAATTTGATATTTTTCATTTTATTTATTTATTTAGGCATTTTTATATAGCGCTTACCATAAAGCTCTAAGCGCTTTACAAATATTAAAAACATGTAAACTAAGTAAAATAAAAATGAGACACTAGGATAGTAACTACTATACTCTAGAAACAATGAAAATGACTATAAAACGAGGACACTTTGACACATTTTGGCCTATACTTCAGACAGATGAGTTTTAAGGGACTTTTTGAAAATGGACGAGGTTTCACAATGACGGATATGGAAGGGGAGCTGGTTCCATATTTAATTTAATAATTGAGGTCCGTGGTGCAGCGGTAAGGCGCTAATTGACTTTTATAAACAAATATTAATTTTGTAAATTTTAGTGGACGCACGTGCGTCCAGTGCGTCACGCTGCGGGCGCCCCTGTATATAATGAAAATGACAGCTCATACATTGTTATATTAAAATTATATGTTTTAACATTTTTTTTGTTTCTAATTCTAAGCAATCCAAATTTACCTCCGTTATTGTTAACAATAATCAAGATAATTATTATTTAAATTTCAGGTTATTGATGCAAATTGCCCTTGTGCTGGGGGGCATATCACCCGCCTGTTGCAAACATGTTTTTTTGTTTACTGTCAGCTGTTGAAGATTACAGCAGGATGGAAATGTTTAAAGCACCCACTGACAAGCTGCAAGCATGGCACCAGCCCAAACCTATTGCTGTAACACCCCTAAGGATGAAAGATATTTGTAAACCTTCCACTTCCGTCACACCCTCGTCAATGGATGCAGATGTAGACTACACCTCTTTAGTTTGTCTACCACAAACAACAGCAATATTTAGTGTTATTTCAATGCCCAATCAAGAGTTTGTGGTAGATGAAATATTTAACACGCTTCCTTTGCCAGCTTTTGTCCCATCTGGTTATGGGAAACTAGATGTTGCTTATAAAAATCCCTGGGACATTGTATGTTATTACCAGTTTGTTAAAAAAGATATGGAAGAATTCATTGTATTAGAAAAAAAAAAAAGACAACAAAAGTGTTCATCTTGGAAAGATGAGAGAAAAAAAAGGATTACAGCAAGTAATAACCATGAGATCTTGATAGTACAGGTCAAAATATCATTAACAGTTTCTTAAGAGATATTTTTCACATACCCCCTATTAGATTTGGCAAGATATTAGAACCCATAGATAAAAATGTTACGTTTTAAATTTCCTTGTTTTGTATTTAGAAACACTGGCCTTGTTGTAAATCCCCTGTATCTGTTTATTGCTTGTACTCCTGATGGATTATTGTATCACCCATATGATCCTATGGTTGTAGAAATAAAATTTGTTTTTTAATCCTAAACACCTCTCACTTACTGACTTAGCCACAGAAGAGCTGATAGATTCCGTTTAACACTAATTCAAACACCTTTGTACTCAAACATAATCATCCTTATTTTTTCTAATTCAATGTCAATTATTTGGTACAAATTTGCTTAAATCCCTATTTGTTTTATTTTCAGACTACAACTGGCAGAATTTTATTTCAGTTATTACATCAAACATTTGAGTGCAATTTAATGGAAATACATGTCAGATAAACATATTTTAATTCATCTTGCTGTTAATATTAATGCTAACAAATACAAAATGTTTTGGATAGTATATTTTATTGATCCAAATAAACTCAAATGTCATTGATTACATTTACATTTTTTATATTTTTTTCTTAAGTGCAAAAAGCGACCTTCATATTTAGATTGGTATTATCAGACATCTATGGATGTTCAATGTTATATAAACAAAGTGATGTTACAATAATTTATGAAAATATTCATATGAAATATTTGTATAGTTCATAGTTGGTACATTCATTTTTATGTTGACATATGACCATTCACACTTTTGGTGGTGATGCAGTGGGGATGGTTAACTAATTCTATGACAACTGAGTAACTTTTACAGCCATATCAAGACATCAAATGTAATTGAAATAATTCATGAAGTCATTTGAATTAACTAGCATTGGTTCTTTATACTTTTAATTACAATACGACTATATTCACATGATAAATAATAATAACTTCAATGATAATGCAGAATATCCATAAACATATGCATTCACTTCCGTTTCATTAATTATCTTCACTTCTGTCATCCCAATTATCACACATGTAACAATAGCACAGACTCATAACAGCATTTTCCAACGTGGCTGTGTGACCTTCTCCTTTTTATCTCATGTCTTCTTATTCTTTACAAAGATTTTACATAACCTCAAATTATGACATACTGTTACATGATATATCCCTAGACAAACATTGTTAGGAAAAAATTCTAAGTATATACATAATTTGAAGAGAGATACAAATCCACACCAATCTTCACAAAAATGTTATCTTAAAGGTATTCAATATTTCAATGGATATATCAATCAACCATTAGTCAATCTATTGACATGTCAAGTACATAATCATTGTATGTCAAAACCGTATTCTTAATATTTATCAATAACAAATCTAAACTGTTTCAAGGCAAAAAAATTCATTTTAAGTTTAAAAAAATTATATTTACACAATTCAAATAAAAAATGTGTAACAATAATATCTCTCAATCTTAGTTAACATAAAACAGTTTATAATAATCACATTCAAAATATTTAATTTTGTGTCACTTCATTACTTCATATATTAGAAAATACAGTACAATAGTGTACCAAAATGTATTAATTGAACTTGTTCCAAAGAAATACAAGTTATCATACTGCTTATTCCATTTGCCATGATATATTAAAATACCACTACTTGTCTATTTATATTAATTTAATTAAAGCAAAAATTCCTTGCAACAATTCCTTACAACATGTTCCTAAATAAAATAAGCATAACATTACAGCTATGTTATTTCTTAAAATATCACAATTTTTTAAGTGCAAAAGAAAGAGTTAACTAAAAAAGTTACAGGCATTGACTGAAGAGTTTTAAAGCAATTTGTCATTATTGTAATACCAAAATAATTAGAAAAACCAAGTACATCAAATGAAGTATGCTTATCAGATGAAGTGTGATAGCTTTTCAAATAAGTTCTTTAAAGTTTACAGATGGGTTTTGATGTCTTTTGTAGGAATGAAGATATCATCAATAAAATGTACCACATCATGAATATGGGTATTGTGTATGTAAAGGTGAATATTTAATACTACTTTTTCTGTTAATTATATTTCATAGATGTATATTCAGTGTTGCAGTACTGGCTTGATTCCAATTCAGTGCTGTCCAATTATTAACATAGTTACTGCTTTGGAGGCATGAGACATGCCTTATGGTTAACATAACTATAACTCTATAGACTTTATTCACATAATCATGACATTCCATATAAAACATCTTAATGCTAAAATATGGAAAATTCATTATTGTAATTATTGAGCTGTTACATGCATCCCTATTGAAAAAAAAATTGAAATTATTTTTTAAAATGCACAATTTTTTATCAAAATTAATTAAGCAATCTTATTGCAATAAACAAAAATATGTAATGATTTCATTAAGAAAAAAATTTATACTATATTGACATTACAATTTTCTAAACTAAATATCATGTTCAACTCTCAGTATAGCCATTTCATATTAAATCTTAATATATCATTCTCATGTGGAAAGAGCTTTCCTTTAAAAAAATAGGTTAAATCAAAGGACAAAATATAAATGTCCCACTGTTATGTGTGTCTCATCAATATATATTATAACTGTATGGTAGGAATAAATATCTGCGCAATCATAATCAATTCTCAATGAAATTTGTCATGAAAATTGTAATATTATAAAAATACAAAATATACTATTATGTAACTCATATCATCAAACATGAATCATTATTTTTTTCAAAATCTTTAACATAAATTTTTTAAATCAATCAATATATGTTTCTATAATATATATGTATACATCATAATATGTGGTTTCAATTATTTCTTAATTGCATAATAAATTGAAAAATATTCATTATTTCTGAAAATGTGTCTTTATTTTATTGATTATTCTAATGTTATAGTAACAACATTCTTTAATAAATATTTCACATTATCTTGCTAATGTAATTTAAGTTTTTGTCTTTGTTATCTTAGCTTAATTCAATTTGTCTGGATAAAAAATCTGCTACAATATTATCATTTCCTTTATTTTAACATCTTATAGATATTCAGCCAAAATTATTTACCATCTATCGATTTTAATGTTAGCTTTTTTTTTTTTTTTTATATCAATCAGTGATAGAAATCGGATACTTTTGCAGTTTTGTTAATGACCAGACTATTGCTAAACATTCTTTCTCAGTTGTTGAATAATTTATTTCTGAATTATTTAAATCTCTGCTCAAATATAATATTGGTTTAAGTGTTTTATTTACCTCTTGCAATACTTGCATTGAACCTCCAATGCCTCTATTAGATGCATGAGTTATGAGAACAAATTTTTATACAAATCAGGTGATGCCAATATTTTGTTGATTGTAACAATCTTTGATTAGATTTAAAGCTTTTGCACGCTCTTGTGACCACGTTATCTGCTTTGCACTAGACTTGTTTAATAATTTTCTAAGAAGTGGTGATGTAATGTCTGAAAATTTAGGGATAAAAATTGCATTATCATAACATACTTTTCACTTCTTTTTGATTGTTACATTCTTATGTTTAATATTTGAACAGATTAAGTCACTAATGTTTTTGCACACATTATTAATGTGTATTGTTATTGGGACAGACACAAGAAAGGGTAGATATTTTTAATAGAGTAATACGAAGCAATGCATTTTGAGTGAGAAGGAAGCTAATATATTGAATGGTATTAATTATCAAAGAAAGGATTTAATATACAGTGGAACCTCTCATAACGAGTAATTTGCTTAACGAGCAAAAAAAAATAATTGAAGAAGTTGCTCCCTTAACGAGCGACATTTCGCATAACGAAAGGGGAAGTCCCTTTTTCCCGACATTCATTTGTGAGCCGGGACTTTGAATTTGATTTTGAAACAGTACCTGTGGAGTCTAGAGTGTCATTGGCCAATAACATGGGACTTGAGGTGGACAACAACGATATTGAAGAGCTTGTGAAAGAGCACAGTCAAGAGTTGACCACCCAAGAGCTTATGGTGTTGCTTCGTGTTTGACAGCAAGAAATTATGGAGGATAGCTCATTAATGGAGGAGGAAGTAGCAGATCAACAATCTTCTAGTGCAATAAGAGAAATGCTGAAAGCATGGGAAACTGTTGCATCTTTACAATCGTACATTGAGAAGCATTACCCTAATAAGGAGGTGGCTATTCGTGCTACAATTTTATTCAGTGATAATGCTGTGACACATTTGCGTCAAATTTTGAAGCGTCAGTCAAAACAAATGTCTTTAGACAGTTTTCCAGTTAAAAAGGATTAAGTATTTGTCATAAATTCATATTTTTATTTACGTTTTTTGTTTCAAACCTAAATTGTATTCCAAGTTGTTACACTCCTTAAAAATTCATAAGTAATTTTATTTGAATAAATGTTAATAAAATTTTTTGAAAAATTAGTATTTTTTAAGCATGTAACGCATTATTGTATTTTACATTGATTTGTATGGGAAAAATGTTTTGTTTTAATGAATGTTACACTTAACGAGTAAGATTCTGGAACAAATTATGCTCGTTATGAGAAGTTCCATTGTATTTTGATTGGTTTACCGGTAAATCACACTATATCTGTTGATGTGTTTTTAAAAGTTGTTGTATAGGATTATAATTGTTAATTCATACAATTTAATAATTTTTTTTGTGTGAAGAATTTGAGTTATAATTACAATTAGATTGAATGGAAGATATAGTTTACCGAGAAGCTATATTCCAAGTTTTTTTATGATCAGTATTTTCAGCATGAATATTTGCTTGTATGTCAAGTTCAAGCATTAAATATTATTGTTGATATTGTGATATAGTGTGTTAAGTATATAATAAAGTATAGTCAATATTACTTGATCCACTAAGCTTCTGTTATTATAACTAATAACTTGATGGTGGTTGTGACAGAAGAGATGCTTGGCGATGTCCCATAACTATTCAATCAGTATCTGGATAGATATATACACTATTAAAACAGTTACACTTCTAAAATTATAAAATAATTTTGTACATGAAACTACATTGTCTATCTTTTGGCTGCATTCGGTTAACATTTTATTACATTAATCAATGGATTTTCCAAAAAGTTGGTCAAAAACACACAAACATAGTGGATATCATCTATGTTTTTTAAATTACAGCAAATGATACCATCAAGGATCTTAAAAGATTTTATTCTGCCAGTTGCACGCTCTGCATGGCAACGATGCGAGGAAACTTTTTTATTTTCACAACGTTCGTCAAGGGGAAACTGTATTTTGTCTTGTAGACAAAATGGAGTAAACAAAGATACATCTCTCCTAACAAATTCATTGTCTAGGACAGTAAAACCCCTATCGGCTAGTACAGTTTCCCCTGCTTCCAACTTATCAAAAATACCACTATTCATTGTTATTTCCTTATCAGAAATGCTACCTAACCATAAATCAAATATGAAACTCACACCACCACTGGGAGCAATACCTATAAGTGATTTATATGTGTTGTGGTTTTTGTAGTTATGGAACCTTGCCTATTGGTGGGTTGGATTGGATGGCTGCTCTACATATAATTCTGTACAACCTATGATCACTCTACAAGTGGGGAATGATTTGTGAATCGCAGGTGGCATGAAAGCATTGACCTGCACTCGACTAGACCAAATATTAACAGAATTCAATTTATGTCGAATTATGCTAATGCAATTTGTAAAAATTGTATCAACCGTGGCACAAGATTTCTTTAATAATGTCGCTAAAAAAATTTCCCCCACGCTCTGTCTAATGTTAATAAAAATCTATCTTCAGGAGTCAGAACATTTTTATGGTACAAGGACAAAAACTGTGCAGTGTAAAGAAATTGAAAATGCAAAAAAATCTCTCTTTACTAAAGCCTGTAAGAGACTTAACATCATCATCTTGTAAATTAATATAACTAAAATGCATTTCAAGACTAATTAATTTACATTGTAAGAAGTCAATCTCCATTTCTTTTTCTTTCATAAACTACTTAAATTCTTCATCTTTTACTTTTAATTGCTGCTTCAAGCCATCTATCTCCTCTTGAAGTTGAAGCTCCCTTGTTGATGGAACAATTTCCTCTTGGCGACCCGGTAACATAATGTTCTCATCATTCTCATGTGTGTTAGATCTAAATAAAAATAACAAAACAGATATGCTTTATTACTTATTTGAAATGTTAATATAATTATTTAAAGTTTTTTGTTTTAACATGATTTAAATTATTTAAGAAATCCCGGTAACAAACATTAGTAATAATAATAACTAGGGGTGTGCCGGACCCCGGTCCGGAATCCGGTTCCGCCGGATTTTGCACTATCCGGTGAAATCCGGTTCCGCCGGATTTACATGTATCCGGAACAACCGGATTCCGGAATATACCGGATTTCGGAATTTGCCAGATTTTGTGACTCACCGGATCATAATCTGAAATAAAAGTAATTCTCTTTCCCGAATTCCACACGATCACGATACATTAATCGATTGTTTCGAGCGTTGAGCTTGTTTAATGTTTAATATTCCGTACATACCAGAGGCTAGAGTCAGCACCGCTAATAGTGGCCAATAGTGTAGGGACTTTGATAAGAAAATTTAAACTTTTTGTAAAAATAAACCAATGGCATAGTTGAAAAGATGTAATTTTTTAAAGAATTATAACACCAAAATCATATTTTTAGCTGTTGTAGTTTTAAAGTTATGAATTTTTAAAGTACGACTTGGTTTGTCATTTTTTAACATGGACTGCATCTCCACATTCTGTGATCTCATTCCACCAATCCCGTCATGCGCAATGACTATATAGTTTATATAAGGCAACGCATTCCCTGCCTTATCACTAAAATACTGTTTAGACTTAGTTTAAACTTTCAACTTTGGCACATGAATAATTAATTAAAGCTTTCCCTGACCAATGGTTTAATAGTTTTTGCACACGGCAAACTCTTATGAATGAAACTCTGAGGTAGTACTACGATACAGTTATGCAAGTGGCTGTGAATGGTTGCCAATGACAACGTGTTGCACACGGTAAATTCTGATCATTTATAATATGGATTCTACCGGGTTGTTAAAGCTCAAATTAAAACATTCCAGTTTAAATGTCTTTAAATGCATTCTGAAACACAAGTTATCAATTATTTTGATGTAAATAGTGATAATAAATTAATATTTCCTAAGTATCGTCAACTTCCGCCATTAAAAAGGGGGGCGTGGCCAACCCCATGGCGAAATTAGGTTGAGCGAGCTGCATGACCTGCTGCGAACGCGTAGAAACATGGCGTCTCTCGTAAGACACTTATCCAAATGGAACGGAACTCAAATATATATCGAAAGTACTAATTTAATAATAAATAGACACACACATCGGAAAATTAAAAACTCGGATTTTTTGGCGCCGATTGCGAATTCCCATACACAAAAAGTAGTAGTCCACCTTGACTTACCGAAGTATCTACCAATAGTACCAAAATCCGGAATCCGGGAGAATCCGGATCCGGCGGATTTCGCATAAGAAAATCCGGATCCGGTCGGAAAAAACGGATCCGGCACACCCCTAATAATAACTTATGCTATGGGAACAGACTAACCCAAATGTGTACCTTTTTCTTTTTGCTGGGGATGGCACTGTCACATAACTTAATTTGGATTGAACAGCTCCAGGTTTTATTTGTCTTCTATCTAAAAGAAAACGCAACAAAAAGAATAATTTAGAAAATTATCTGTTAAAGTAAAGTTAAAGCCTACAGGGTTCTCACACTTTTTTAAAAACAAAATTCCCTACTTTTTCCCAACTAAAAAGAAAAAATTCCCGACTATCGCAACGCTGCGTTTTTGTTGATAATATAAAAATCTGTGCAATTGTCAAAGTAAAGCAATGTTGAAATACATCACAAATTAACACACAAAAAAAGAGATTGAGGTGTATACATGTAAATATTTATTAAATTTCCTAGCAATTGCAATTTTTCAATTTACTTGGACATGAAAAATTGTTGATGTTTACTTTTACAGTGCAAGGGAAACTTTTGCAGTGTGTTCTCTGGGGCATTTTAGCACATACGTATTGCTACCACAAGTGGAAAGAATCTTTTCTTATATGGAGCTTTCGTTCTCTTCTTTGTGATGAAAGTGGATAGTTTGAGATAATACACTTAAGTGTATATAAAATCTAAAATTTAAAGGAACTGTTGGGCATTATTTTATTGAGCCTTGATCCTGAATAGTGAAACAAAATAAAATAAATTATCATATTAATATTATTAATATTATGTTTATAATTTACAGTTAGGCATACACCATGTAGACTATATTATACCTATACTAAACTACAGTAATATAGAGTCAGAGGAGATACTAAAATATACATATGAAACGGCATAGTCAGGATTTTCCTCAGGAGAATGCATCATTGCCCCCCTCCCCCACACCTGTTTAGAGTATCCAAAGGACCCCCACCACAAACACAAAAACAATCCTTGCATACACCACTGTGCTTATGAATAATAGTATAACACCGTTAAGTATACCCAGAGCACGGGAGAGCATAAAATAAGAACTAACTATATAATTATATATACTAAATAATATGATATAATTTATACCGTTAAGGTAGGCTCAATGAATCGATATAGTCTATTGTAGTATCAAGTCCAATGAACTAGTCTAGTACTAGTTTTAGTAACCTTTAAAGGTATTTCCGATGTCAGCCGTAAACTAGCTAACTAATCTACGCAAAAAATAACATGATCATATTAGCCTTTTTAAAATTAGAAGGCCTACTCCGTAATTAAATGTAAAGTGAACTTAAAGTATTTAAACAATTTTAAAGTTAAAGGCTGCCTAGCGCTAATAAAAAAATACATGCCGCCCACATACAGTAAAACAGTTAAAGTTAAAAATCAACATGTGAAGTTGAAGACTACGACATAACAAAGTACGCTAAGCCTAAGCTTAGTCATCGCAGACAGCGCTTGGATGAGTAGTTCTCTATTTATAATGGTTACCTCACAATTTAAAACTAGATTCAAATAATTATTCACTATATTTTAAACTTTACTTACCCAAACATTCGACATCTCTTGATCGGCGATGTGAACAGAAAATAAATATTTCTTGTCTATCGAAGTTGTACGATAATAGAAACTGAAAAAGCTCGAAAACGCATGTGCAGTAAAGGGAAGCCACTAGCAAGGTCTGTTTGATATCAGAAAGGCTAAAAATAGACGAGGTCTGGGATTAACTACAATTTTCATGGAATCAAAAACAAAATTTTTATTATTTTTTAAAAGTTAAAAAATTCCCGACTATCTTGAAAATTTCCTTTCTAGAAAGCCCATTTTCCCGGTTTTCAAGACCGGTAAAATTATTCGATAAATTCCTGACTATTTCACGTTTTCCCGACTGCGTGGGGACCCTGAGCCTATTTCAATTCTACTATTTCTTTACTTTAATGAAAAATTTAATGTCAAGAAAATTATAAATTAGTTTTTTTTATCACACAGACACATGACAATAATGAATAACCACAATCAGAAAAATAATCATAATGAGTATGAGTCTCGGAGTATGACTAGTATGAGCATGAGTATGAGTGAGTACCAGTTCAGTAGAGAAATTTATAATTATTTATTGATTTTAAGTCTAAACATTTGACTAATTTGCCATTTGCAAAAGTTAAATCTAAACAATAGTAGATAGCAGTTAAATTTTGATATTCGAAATGATCCTCAGTGAAGTGCTCTTGAACACACTTACGCAGGAACGATGATTTGGTCGGCACGATCACGAAGTCTTCCCAATCCACTTCGTCAAGCCATTGTCTTAAATTTTATTTATCCATGAGCGGAAACTTTTGCAGACTTATAACGCTGTCCTTAACTTTACTGTTTGAACACCCAAAAGCCGAACATTGCCTAGGCATTTTGATTTACTAGTTGTCGTGTGTAACGGACTGTTCTCAAGCACTAGTGTGTTGCATACAGCCTCCCGGAAGTCTTACTCGTATTTACTCTCATCACGTGACTAAACAATCGACTAAGCGACTCCCTTTCAATAATATTTACAATTCCAATCACTTATATGCCTCTAGTAACCCTGTCACTTGTTGCCACGGTAAACAAGTAGTAAAATTTTGTAACTATCTTGGAAATTAAATCAAAATTAATTAATAGCTCGTTTTTAAAACATTATGTTGTTACAAAACGGTTTGAATATAAACATCCTGTCTTAAAATTAAAATCTCCAAGCAAAACAGGAACGGAATAATTTGACTCGATTTACTACAAATATAAACCTTAGTGAACTTAGTGCTATCAGCGAGTCGTGGCCATATTTCATAACGGAAGAAACACAGAGCCGTTCCTACCTTCTCCTGGCAGTTAACCAGTTAAGCTATATATTTGTGTCTGCAAAGATCACCTTATCCTTTGTATTGCCATTATGAACGTATTTTAATTAACCAAAAACTGAGATATTCTTAATAATTTCAGAATTTCTGCTGAAATTTATGCTTTCCATGTAGGCGTAGGAGTCCTAGATTATTTTATCAGTGAACTGAATAAAAGATTGCCAAAAACACAGAAGGATGTTGTAACAGGTTTGAGATCTTATAAAAAAACTTTTTATTCAATTGAAAGTGAATGTATAAGCCCAGATACTTAAGTCTAAGTATGACAGTTTATTCACTTTTTAGGCTTCATTTCGGTAATCTACCACTTGAGCGTCGGCCAAGAAAAAATCCAGCTGTTCTGGTTGTAAGGGCTATTTAAACAATTATTCTGATACTATTTTTAATGGCATTGGTTGTACGCATTCATTCCATTAACAATAGTACTAATACAAATACACAAGAACATTTTTTTTTAATAGAAAAACTATTTAAAAAATGTGAAATAGAAGAATTTTAAAAATTTAATGTTTGAAAATGGAATTATGCATAGTTCTCCCCCAAGGCGACAATGAAGTTTAAAAAAATATAAGTTTCACGAAATCTGTTGTGGTACATGAATTCTCGTAAATATGAAGGGGAAAGATCACAGCTTGTACCAAACTGTCTTTTCAGTTTACGCTTTTTGAGCATCCACGTTTTCCACATTCTGTGTGTGGACATCTGCGTCATCTGGATAAAAAAATAATAATTTTGTTAATGCACCTTAGGTGCTAAATAAGGGGTCTGACAAATTTAGCAGATGTGTGGACAGCCACCATTCTTCTTCATCTCGTATCTGATCTGTATCAAACATTTTGGTCATCGGCTCTATTGTAGTCTCTTTGTCTTCCTGGCATATTGGTAGCTTGGCAGTTATCATTATTTAAATGTAGTAGTATTGTGCTATATAACTTTATAGCCTTTACGGAAGCAAAAATATGAACAGACTCCAATGTAAGAATAGTTGTTTAAATAGTCCTTACGACTGGAACAACTAGATTTTTTCTTGGCAGACGCTCAAGTGGTAGCTTACCCATTTCCATTGTATTAATTATAATCGTATACATTTAGAAATGAAAATATTTTGTTAAGTTTAAGATTGATTTCCATTTTATTAACTTTCTTACACATACAGAAAGGAAACAATTATTTTTTAAAGCTTCATTTCTATTGTACTAATTAACTTTTTTAAATTATTTCACCTACAAAAATGAAACAATTACTTTTTTCAGGAGAGGCCAAAGTCCTACAAGTTTTCCAAATCACACTGCCCAACAAAGCCAAAACATACATGGCAGGATGTCGCCATGAGCAAGAAGCTTTGTGTCAAAGTCATACGTGATAATGAAACTGTTTACACAGGTTAGCCATCAACAATTCCAGGGCTCTCAATTTGTTATACATGTGTTTAAACATTACCTTAAATAGAGGTCTGCAACCTCTTTTTGAGATATATAAATTTGATATGCATAGAAAATATTTTGTGAGCCAGATGTCATTAGATCTATATATTAGTATTAGTAATATAAGAAAAGGGAACCACCGGTTGGCCACTTCTACATTAAGTAAACCAGTAAATTTATAATATTTTACTAAAGGCTGTACAATAGTCTTCTTTCTGTGGGAAAGGTAATATCTAAATCTATAATAGCTTACTTGAGGTTGTATAATTGTCTTCTTTCTGTAGGAAAGGTAATATCTATCAAGCACTACAAAGATGAAGTGGACAGTGTTAAGAAAGAGCAAGAATGGGGCATTTGTATAGATGATCCTGAATTTGTATTTTAACTGCAAGACGCAATAGTTTACTATGAAATGAAATAGACCAACCAAGAGATAGACAGGACTTTGGCTTTTTACAATAGGAATTCATGTCAATAAATTATTGATGCTATCGATTCTGAAAGAAAGTATTTTTTTTTCTTTTTGCTTTAATCACTAGTTTGCCAAAATAATTACATTATTTGTCATAGTTAAAGAATTACCATTTATTATAGTTAAAGAATTACCATTTATTATAGTTAAAGAATCCTGGTAAAATTTAATTTATGACAACAGGAAGAAGAAAATAATATATATAAGAATAAGCTAGGTTCACATAACGCCAAAAGGGAAATAATTTTTTAGTACGTTCAGATTCCTTAAACCAATCATAGTTATTTTCTAATATTTTACGGAAATCAAATAAATTCAAATGTGCAAAAATTATTTAAAACCGCTTTTATTTTAGTAAAAGTTTAAATATTATTATTATAAATTACAAATACAATTAAAGTATCAACTAAGGAACCATTTTAAGCATTTTATATGCGTTTGAAAGTTATGAAAAAATATAAAAAATATAAAAATTATGATCAAAGAATTACACAGTAATCACATTTATCGGGAAAACCCAAACATCAATAGTTTTTAGTGCGTCCTTTAGTGCGATGTTAACATTGCTAGTGCGATGTTAACATTGCGAAATAAAATTAAAATTAATTTATTCTAAATAATCACGACATCATAGTGCTAATAGCCTATTTTGCCAAAACTCTTAGTTTTCTTTAAATTTAATAAAGGCGTGGGACAAAACTGATACTGTATTTTCCCTTCTTAAAAGTAAAATTAATAAATACAATTGATTGCTTTTTAAATTGTTAAGAAAACACGCACACATTTTAGCTTTGAATATTTTAACATTTAAAAAGTTTTGCCTTTTTTATTCCAAAAATATACTTTTATTAAAATTATAACGTAATAAATTCTAACCTTTAAATATTTATTTATTTATTTATTTAGGCATTTTTATATAGCGCTTATCATAAAGCTCTAAGCGCTTTACAATTATTAAAACATGTAAACTAAGTAAATACAAATGAGACACTAGGATAGTAACTACTATTCTATAGAAACAATGAAAATGGCTATAAAACGAGGACACTTTGACACTTCAGGATCAACCCGAAACAGAAAATGAGGTAGGGCAAGGAGGGTGCATCACAGGTCATAGGCGGACCTAAACAGATGAGTTTTAAGGGACTTTTTGAAAATGGACGAGGTTTCACTATGACGTATATGGAAGGGGAGCTGGTTCCAGAACGTGGGCCCATGGAAGCAGAAGGAGCGTTCACCGATGGTCTTAGTTTTAGTTCTTGGGATTGAGAGGGTTCTACTGTCAATGGAAGAACGTAGTTGTCTTGTGGGGATGTAAGGAAGCAACAGTTCAGAGAGATAGACAGGAAAGTGAGGGTCAGTGAACGAGTTGAAGCAAAGATTGGCAGACTTGTATTTGATGCGAGAGGATATTGGAAGCCAGTGGAGTTGCCGCATGTGTGGTTGAATGTGGTCATGTTTCTTTAATTTAAAAATGAGTCTGCATGCTGAGTTCTGTGCCTTCTGAAGTTTTTCTATGTGGTGTTGAGGAATGCCTGAGAGAAGAATGTTACAGTAGTCAAATTTTGAAAGAATGAGTGAAGAGACGAGAGTTTTTGTGGCATCAAAGGAGAGGAGGTGTCTAATGGTGCTGATTTTTCTAATTTCGTTATATGCTGATCTGCATATATTCGTGACATGTTTGTCCATGGAGAGGGTGTCCGTAAGAGTGACTCCAAGGTTTCTGGCAGAGGGAGAGAGTGTGATGTCAGAGTTGCCAATAGATATAGAAGAAGGAGCGAATGGAGGGAGAGGTTTGTTTTGAGAGTGGATGAGAAGGATTTCCGTTTTATCATCATTTAGCTTCAGTTTGTTGCAAGTCATCCAACGCTTTACATCGTCCACGCACTCCTGTATGCGAAGGATTGTGGAATCAAGTTGATCAGGAAAGCAACATAAAGCAAAATATAATTCTAATAAGAAAATACAGTTTTAGCCAATCAGTGCAGCGCACTTCCATAGCCAAATAGCATTCACTAATCCATTTTTAACTCATAAAAATAAGAACAAACCATAAGAAGTGCAAAATATGTTAGTATGGTTATGGAAAGGACTACAATCCGGTGGAAGATTTTCTAAATATATTTAAATCTGGGTGGGGACGGGTTGTTCACTTTGCCTCAGGCAGCACAAGATACGTCTCAAAATAAAGGAATGAATTGGATAAATAATTAAACTTCTTTGGTATATACATACGGGAGGTAGGATATAGGATGTGTACATTTTTACGAGCATGACAATATATTTAAATCCTATGGTATTACATTTGTGGAAAAAGGAATGCCACTTTCTCTTTTTACAAATATATATATGTTCATTTTGCTCAAGGCCGCACAAGATACGTTTCAAAATAAAGGAATGAATTTGATTAATAATTAACCTTCTTGGGTACATACCTATCAGAGGTAGGAAATGGGATGTGAATATTTTCACGTGCATGACAGTATAGTTAACTCCTACGTTATTACATTTCTGAAATAAAGAGATGCCACATTCTCTTTTTACACATATTTATTAATATGTATATGTTCATTTTGCTCAAGGCAGCACAAGATAGGTCTCAAAATAAAAGAATGCATATGATAAATAATTAAATGTCTTGGGTACATTCATATCGGAGGTAGGTAATAGGATGTGTAAATTTTCACATGGATGACCATATATTTAAATCCTATGG